TTTATATTAAGAAAGACAGAAAAAAAAATACGAGAAAGTTTCTAGAATAAAACAGAAAATACCGTGTCTGATGTAGTCTTATTTGTTGATTGGAGTTGCTTCTCTTTATTTGAATGACGGTGACGATCAAAAAGTGCGCCCATTTATAATATGAAACTGTAATTATGTGTAGATAATTCTAGAGTTTTCTTCCTGACAGCTACTATGTTATGACGGTGACACCTATGACTCATTCTCTGGTAACAATTTCAACCTATGAATATAAGGATTGATTGACTATCCGGAGACGTGCGACAGCTATCGAAATACATGTGATGATTATGTCTGGTACATTGATTGTAAGTGAGTTAAAATAACCAAAATAAATTATGGATAATCTTCTCTATTTTGCCTATATATATATTACGAGAACGTGCCTTAAGCAATTAAAACAAACCCTGTTTTTTTCGTTGAATTTGTATTTATTTAAAAAAAATTAAAAAATCTCTCGTATTTTATTTTATTTTTTTGTTATTGATTCTGTTGAAGTTTAGAAAAATATCGAATGATGATATATATCTATATATGAAACAACTATTATATCTGAAAAATATTCTTTCATGTTAATATAACAATAAAATCTTTAAATGACGAACAAAATTCTGTAGTTTCATATGTAAAATAAGTTAATTGACTTGTAGAAAAATTTAAAAAACGATGAAATACATTTAGCTTACGTGCAAATACGACAAATTATTCACATGAATAATGATGACAACATCTTAATCGATCATAATGAAATATGACTTGTTTTACATAAAATGATTGATTCCTTGACACGAAAAGTATCAACAATTGTATAAATCAGCCCTCGAAATAAAAAAAAGGTTACCATAATAAATTCTTAGAGCAAGGTTGTTAGCGTCAGTAGATGGTGCTTACTGACGCTAAACGTTTATTTTATGTTATCTATTTTTTGAATCTCTGATTTGATTTGTTACGTAATCTCTCAACTATGATTCATCTCGTGATTATCTTTTTGTCTTTCGTTATTGCGCAGTTGTTGATGTTCTATCGTATCGATCACTCGATACTCAATATATTCTATATANTGATTACATCAAGTGTAATTTAAGTGATCAACCAAATGAAAAATCATTAGCTCGTGCGGTATCCAAGGTGGTGAAAAATATTCCTGAAGAAGAATATAAAAAAACTTTCGACAAACTGTTAAAAAGGATGGAACTTTGTATAAATAATCATTGGGACTATTTTGAACATTTAATAAAATAAAACTCGAACTTTCTCTTTTTCTTTAACTTTTTTTTTTAAATTGCAGAACTTTTGGTCAGACCTAAGTAGCTGGTCACTCGCCGAACTGGATCAGTCTAAAATTTCGCCCGATGAACTGAATCAGGTCAACGATCTCGATCGGTCACAAGTCTAGTTTGTCTCCTAGTTTTCTTATTGGAAATCTTATAAACAAATTGAGAACAAAGATCACTGCAGTATATGTATTACAGGAAAGATAAGGCTGATAAATAAGAGAAAGAACTAGAATCAGGTTTATTTTCGAGTAAATTGGTTAAACTTATTAATCAGATGTTCCCATTAAAAAACTAAAAGTAAGTTGTTGCTTTTTATTTCTATCCAATTTCAAGCAAAAAAGATCAATTTAATCAAAAAAAACACAGGGAAAAAAACTTGAGGGAAATCAATACTACCGGGAAAATTGAAACAATATCGTTTTGTAGCTATCATGATAAAATTTTAGAGACGTGTTACATATCCAGGAAATCGGCGAAGCTGGGGAAGGGACGTTACGGGAGATGTGGGAGAAGTGGTCAGAGATGCGGGAGGTGTGGGAGAAATGGTCAGGGATGCAGGAAAAGTGATGGGATAAGTGGTCAGAGATACGAGAGAAGTGACCGCTGACGTGAAACCAACGATTCTCTGTGGGTATATGCGTGTGCTAATGGACGTTTATGTTTTCCTAAGGAAACGGAATACGTAAGCTATGCACCCACCCGTACAATCCCACTCACACGCACACCCGCATCCACACCCACACCGTCATCACTTCGCCCGCGTCTCTTACCACTTGTCCAACATTCCTCGTCACTTCTTCAGCTTCTCCGATTTCCTGGATATGTGACACTGCTGACACTTTATCCTCTAAACGTGTAAAACGTGTTCTTTTTTAAATTCACCTCTACTTATACATTTAAATTAAAAGAAAATGCTTAAAAACAGGCACAAAACACTCAAGATTAGACCTATTCGAATGAGTGATATTTTGATTTTTTTGTATTGCATTAATTATTTTCCTTTAAAATTGATAAAAATATATTAAAAAATCAGTTGCTTTCTCCTAGGTATAAATCTATAAACATTCAGAGTGACATTTCGCCCCTAATATCATATGAATAAACTTCATAAACTCGCCGGTTTTTACCGATCTGGAATTATTTTTTAGGCCAGTGGATTACCGGTCGAACTAGACCGCTCTAAAATTTCTAGACCGGTTACAACTTGGAGTCAGAGGTGTGCATTGTGATCAAACTCTAAGCATAGTAACTGGTTCCAAACAAATACATGTATAAATTGCTAGTCTGTGACTACATGAAAAATTTCATGTTTATTGTGCTGCATACGATTTTCATATTCTTTCCTGTTTATCCTATTCTGAAATACAAATTCGATTTCATCAGTTTGAACTTCTTTAGGCCAAAAGAATACGAAATTCAATTGAGTCGAATTTGTATTTCAGGATTGGATAAACAGGCAAGAATATGAAACTTGTATGTAACACAACAAACATGAAATTTTTCATGTAGTCACATACGAGCAATTTATACATGTATGTGTCTGGAACCAGTTGCTATGCTTAGAGGCTGATCATATGACACATCTCTGACTGGTATCCTGCAGTATATGTAGTATAAATATGAGATGTAACTGTCTATATACAAAGAAAAAAAACTGAAAAAATTTTTTATTCTGTTACTTTTGGTTCACGCTCTCTATGATCTATGCGGATTCTGAAATTTTGAGATCAGGTATTGTTATAGCCGTAACAAATTCATTCCTTAAACATAGACCAATAGAATTGGTATAGTTGAGATAGGCAGCAATTCGAGTTGAAAGGTTTTCAAAACAAAATTATTTGTTATGTTTTTGTTATTAATAATAAATAACAAAAATAGTTATTGTTATCAATAACAATCACAATAACAATAAATTCACACCCCTACTTTCCATCACTCCAGCTGTGTTTCCTTCACATACAACACAAGCTGATATAAGCGAAAGAGAACTTGGAAGAACAGAGAAATCAGAAGAAAGAAAATAGTGAATATAAGACAGAAAGAGCAGGTAGCTATTATTTTTCATGAGGTTCTACTATTGGCACACTAAGAGCATGATCAAAATTGGTAATTCGATTCTCATGCAACAAAAGAAAGAATTATAGTCGGTTATAACTTAGATTTTGTTTCACAATAGTAATAGTGAAAATCCCCATATAGCTAACTACAGCACGATTTCAGTTGATTTTATATACTGTTGCACTGGTTTATAAAAGATAAAGTAAAACAAAACAAAACAGAGTCTTTTCTGATGTAGGAAAAAGACGAAAAAAATTGATGCAAATCAAATTTTTTTCACGTTTTTTCTTTACATGGAAAATCTACGCTCAAAATATATGCTACTTGCTAATATATTTCAACCTTTCTAGTCATGTCGGTCAGATCTGATTAGTCTTTTTCTGAAACACTCCAGTCTAAGGTCTGATATGTCCTTGAATCCCGTCCCAAATCTGTCATTGACGAGCATGAGCACACATATATCATCTAGTCTTGTTCAAGCGAAAGATCAGCGAAGGCCACTTTAGTGTCGGTGAGATATCAAATTATTATCAAAAATGCAGACTAGTTCTGGACGAAGCCTTTTGAGAGGAAGGATCGTATGATTGAAAACTCAACTTCTATATCTCGGTGAACATTTGTAGACACCAATTAATCGAACTTTATTCATATTTTTTTTAATTTTTATATGGATAGAAAAAAATCTTTGTATTCTAATACGAAGTTAGGTATATAAGCTCAAACCGGACTATTTTTCAATTAAAAAATTATTCTCATGAAGTTTTAGCAAAAATTAATGCATGTGAACGAATACATGTTCAAAATAAATTAATAATTTCTTTATTAATTCAAGAGAAAATAATGTCTATCAGCATCAAGATTTTATTTTATTTTATTTTAAATTAAGTTAATTCTTTTTACAGTTAGAACTAGAATAGATTTGTGAAATCTTAATTAATTCTTAAATTAAACTAATCATAGTGCATATTTCAAGTAAAATGAAATTGTGACGCAACAAAAAATATTCGTAATATTTTGGGGTTAATGTGGATTTTTTCTTTATTAACATTCACCCACTCACTCCTCACTTGTTCTCGACCAGCTCAATTGTCTAGCAAATGGATAAGTACTTCTCTGCTATTTGAACAGTTAAAGCTGATATCAATCTATTGATACGACATGAGCTGACATCAGGCTATCTGTCAAGTGTTGAATACAGATAGGTTAGATGTTCGGATCCATCTTTTACTCTTTTTCTGCTCTACGGATTAATCTGGACAGGTTAGATAGACAAATGAACTACATATGCCGGAGTTCAACGACATTCTGGACTAATTCAGACGTAGTGGTAGGATTTTTCTTGTCAGGATAACTAGTTGTGACGGGTATTGTCGATATTTTGGACTAGTCATGTCATCCGTCTTCAGCGACTTTTTGTTTTCTTGGCCATTCTTCCTTGCTTCTTACCTGATGTGCCGAGACTTCTCCCGTCCGTTATCGTCGCTTCGTCAACAACACGCTTGAAATAAACGAACGATCGAGAGAAAAGTTCTTGAAGTCTATAGCAACAAGTCAGAAAAAAAGTGTCAACAAAAAGAAAAAACAGTTGTATATATGTTTAGGGCGACGACGCCTCACTTATTGTATTCATTCATCATGGACAACCAAAAATCGACAATAGCCATTGCGAGTAGACCAGCAGCGGTAGCCACCAACACCAATAGTACTGCTATGCTGCCCTCACCTATTCGTCAACTTCTGCAAAATTTTCTTTTGATCTGGCTTGATGCCGATTTTGATGAGTCCAAAGACTATTATAAAAAATCAATACAACATCTACAACATATTGTAGCAACAATCACAACATTTACAGACGTTGACCAATGTATTGATTTCCTCAATGACATTGAAAATGAAAAAGTATTCATGATTGTGTCTGATGCACTGGGACAACATATAATACCAGAAGTTCAATTATGCCCACAATTAGACTCCGTTTATGTTTCCAGTGACAATCAATCGATCCATGAACATTGGGTCAAAATAATACCCAAGGTAAAAGGTATATACACACAAATCGAAGCAATTTGTAAAGCATTACAAATCGATCGTGAAAATTGTGATCGAGCTATGATCTCGATCAGTTTTAATGGCATTGATCCGTTGTTTATGTATACGCAGTTATTAAAAGAAACACTCATGGAAATTGAAGACGACGACACAAAATCTATTAAAGAACTTGCTGACTACTGTCGTCTTCAAGGTGATATTACTGGAAGTCATATTGATATGGTCGAACAACAATATGGTCATCATACACACATTTGGTGGTACGCGGCTCCATATTTTATGTACTCGATGTTTAATCGCGGTCTCCGAGTAATGGATGTCGATATTATACTCAAAATGGTTTTTTTTATTCGGCACTTACATTGGCATATTGAAAACTTACACCGTGAACAACAATCCACCAACACGACAACGAATACTCCTTTTCAAGTTTTTCGAGGTCAAAGTTTATCTATTGAAAACTTTGAAAAAATGAAAA